GGACCCACAACAAAATTGAGACAAGTTATCTGACACCAGAAACCAAACTGAGACAGGTTTAGGTGACACTTGCAACTATAAAGACACAGATTTTAGACATTTGCAACTAAACTGGGATGGGTTTTGAGACGCACACAAAACAAACAAGACAGGTTTGAGGCTTCTGCAACAATTGTGACTATTTTGAAAAAATACAAAAAAACAACATGTTTTTTTAGTATAACTAGTCAACAGTTGCAGCTCAGCCTGGCCTCCCTACAGAGGAATCTCATTTGATTATTTCACAACAAAATAATAAACAAATATTAATGTGTGCAAACCTGGAGACAAAGTCAACATTTTAAACCTATCAAGACAAGTGGTCGTAATGTTATGGCAATGGAATGGACCGAGGACGGAGTTTTTGCGGCTCAGACAGAATAAATTTGGTGTCAAAAAGACAAGAAATTACCAAAGAGTTGTTGGAGAAGCTGAATCAGAAACATCTGTCACATCTGTAACATCTTTGACACGAGTTCACGGAGGAGCTGAACATCACAGGCTGGAAGAGATCGTATCCGGTTCAGGAGACGTTAATGTTCCTTTAGCTGTAATTTAAAGTTTAACTGCAGCAGATCAGAGGACGTTTCAGCTGAAGAAGCTGAAGCAGATTTACAAATGTTAACGCCTGAAGATGAGGTCATAACAGAAGAAGCGCAGATCCTCTCGCTCTTCTCAGGGTTTGGAAACCACCCAACGAGCGTTAAAAGTATTTTCTCCCTGACTGAACATCCAGTTCATTCTCGTTTTCCATCCCGCAGTTTAAAACCAAGACCAGATGTTTTCGAGTGGCACAGATTTAAAAAGTCGAGCCCAGGGAGAGACAGGAAAACGTTGCCATTTATCACCGTTAACATGAAGAATGTGCCGCGGTCTCCGGCTCGTCACGCCTGCCACCCGTCTCACCACATAACGAAGACTAATTACATCGACAGGTGATGTTGGACAGGTTTCTTTACTTCCTGCTGCCACTGAAGGACAGAAAGGCTTCTTACCACCAACACCAGGATCATGGGACCCTGGTAAATGTAGTCTGTGTAGACGCCGGGTCGCTTCCCAAACCAGCACCTGGAACACAAACAGAACCATCCGTCACTAAAACCATCAAACAGAAGTGTTTAAACTGAGATCTGTAACTTTAGGTTCAGTCTGTGGAGCTCACAGGTTTACACTCCCGTTACAGGCTTGAACTTTAAAACATCCACGCGCTGACCAGGCACAGAACTAATAGAAACATTTAAAAGAAAACGTGGTCACCTGATCTCCCAACAGGGTACAGAGAACAGGAAGAGGTGATTAATGAGTGGAAACACCTGAGCTGATGAGCAGATGGAGCTCAGGTGAGATGAAAAGCAGAAAACCTGCTGAACACAAAGCTTCTCTACATAAAACAACGTACACTGCAACATGAAAGGCTCAGGATCACAGTTGTTGGTCACTAAACGCATCACAGATCGTAAACCAGATATTTAGTTTCCTTTGAAAGCAGTCTGAGTCTGGTTGTTTTAAATTTTATGATCATTCACGGCTCCTGAGAAGAAAAAATATGTGAGTGGAGTTCAGGACTCTGAGCGTCTTGTTCCCGAGGGACGGTGGGACGGAGCGGGAGATGGATCCATGGGCCTGGACCTCGTCCTCAGTAATGAGGGCGTTGTTTCGGTCAGAAAGACTTGAGTTCAAAGATTTCCTGGTCTGTCTACGTTCCCTCATCTGTGGTCATGAGGTTTGAATCACGACTGAAAGGAGATGAAAGGAGTGCCCTCTCCAGGTCAGGAAGGAGGTCCTACCCCAAGTGGAGGAGTTCAAGTATCTTGGAGTCTTGTTCACGAATGAGGGAAAAATGGAGCGTGAGATCGATAGGTGGATAGGTGCAGCGTCTGCAGTGAAGAGGGCGCTGTACCGGTCTGTCGTGATGAAGAGAGAGCTGAGTCAAAAGGCGAAGCTCTCAATTTACCGGTCGATCTACGTTCCTACCCTCATCTATGGTCACGAGCTTTGGGTTGTGACCGCAAGAATGAGATCTCGGATACAAGCGGCTGAAATGAGTTTTCTCCGCAGGGTGTCTGGGCTCTCCCTTAGAGACAGGGTGAGAAGCTCGATCATCCGGGAGGGACTCAGAGTAGAGCCGCTGCTTCTCCACGTCGAGAGGAGCCAGTTGAGGTGGCTCGGGCATCTGGTTAGGATGCCTCCTGGACGCCTCCCTGGTGAGGTGTTCCGGACATGTCCCACCGGAAGGAGGCCCAGAGGAAGACCCAGGACACGCTGGAGGGACTATGTTTCTCAGCTGGCCTGGGAACGCCTCGGGATTCCCCTGGAGGAGCTGGACCAAGAGGCTGGGGAGAGAGAAGTCTGGGCCTCCCTACTTAGGCTGCTACCCCCGCAACCCGACCCGGATAAGCGGAAGAAAATGGATGGATGGATGGATGGATGAAAGGAGATCCTGGATCCAAGCAGATGAGATTAACTTCTTTCGTAGGGTGGGGGCTCAGGAGCTCCATCATCAAGGGAGGAGCTGCTCGCAGGGGTGTCAAACTCCAGGCCTCGAGGGACGGAGTCCTGCAATATTTAGATGTGTCTCTGATGCCACACAGCTGAATCATATGACTAAATTAGCTTCTCGGTGCAGTCAAGTTCTCCAAAGTCCTGCTAATGACCTCCTTATTTGATTCAGCTGTGTGGCATCAGAGATACATCTAAAAGTTGCAGGACTCCGGCCCTCGAGGCCTGGAGTTTGACACCTGTGCTTTAGAGGGTTTCCCGGCACGTCCCACAGGTAAGAGACCACCGGGCAGATCCAGAACTCTCTGGAGTTCCAGACCATACTACATCCTCTCTGGTCTGGGGACACCGTGGGTCCCAGAAGGAGCTGGAGGGTGTCTCTGGGGAGACAGAGGTCTAAGCTGCCCTCCTGGACCTGTTGCCTCTTGACACGACCGCGGTGAGCGGTAGAAGATGGAGCAAAATGTTTTTTTCCACTTGTACGTCGGCATGTTGTGCAGAAACCAGAGTTGAAAAGTTCCCTGGAAGAAGAAGGTCGTTGTGAAGCTCACGGGTCGTTGAAAACAGTTTACCAGAACACACGAAGAAAAACGCCCTGAGTATTTCAAATGTGGACAGAAGAGCCTCAGAGATAAAAAAAACAAACCATTAAAGCAGCTTTAGAGTTGTTATTTTTCAGATCTGCATCTGTGTTTACATTCCTCTGCAGACTGGATCTCTGCAGCTAATGGGCAAACAAGCCGAGGCTCTACGGTCAACACGCTCGGCCATTAGAGCCAACACGTTCGGCTGCAGGACGGTCCGTGTGGAGATGAATTATGATCAAACACAGCGCAGACGTTTATGGTAATGAAAGAAAATGCCACTCGGTTCCTTAAACAGCAGCAGAGGTGGGACCTGCAGGGCTCCAGACTCCGGCGCTCATGTATTCCCTGCTGCAGAGCAGCTTCAGTAATCGTTGGCAAAGGAGCGCGAGCGCTCCCAATTAAAAGGCGAACTGAGTCCGGCCTGATAAACACAAAGGAACGCTCCGCTGTGCTACTGAGTCCAGCAGATAGTTATAAACATTCATCTCCTGAACGCAGCTCAACTTGGCGTTTTCTTGTTATCGGCAGCGCTTTCACCTCAGAGAGCAAAGCAGAGACTCACTTCTCGTTGTCGTAGTACAGCTTCCCGATGGCCCACGCCACGATGATGGGGAAGGGAATACCTGTGAGGTAAAGACAACACGTCAGGTTCTGTTCCTTTCTAGGGGAGCCAGGGAGATCGATGTTCACAGAAGTCAGATAAATGTTCAGGTTTCAAGGATGAACCGTTTCGTTTCCCGGGGTCAAACGATTCATCAATCCACAGCGTCAAGGATTTTACGGCTCATTGTACGTCCGTCAACAAACTGTTACACAGAAATCCATAGCAACAAGCCAAGACCCTGAATAACCTGTGACCTTGATTTGTGACCTTGACCTTGAAGCTGGGGTCATGGAAAGTGTACGGGACACTCCGTCTAGCGATGATGCAGATGCGTATGAAGGTTCATTAAATTATCTTGAGCGGATCAGAAGTTTTGGGCGGGACAAGAACAATCTTAGCCAGAGACCGGGTCGTTGCTATGGACTGCAGTGCAACAGCTGACGAACGCAATCGCTGAAGAAGTTCAATAAAACACGTTTAAATTTAACGTGGATTTTCTCCAAAGGCCCAAATAAATCAAACACCTCCGCTATGATTGGGTTAAATGTACCGCAGGCTCTTTGTTCCATCAGCAAGGTTCTGGCAGAGTTCCTGTAAACTGGGTGGTTTCCTGAAAGAGGTTTTTAACGGTCCACACGTCTTCAGTGGGGTTGAGGGTGGAGCTTTGGGGAGGCGGAGCCAGAGGAGTGATGTCAGCCTGATTTATCCAGTAAGAAACAAGATCTGATGTTTAGGATCTGGGATTTGGGGCGTGGTGGCACAGAGGTTAGAGAAGATGGGCCTGTGATCAGAAAGTCGCAGGATCAACTCCCGGTACCGTCAACATCAAAATGTGGGTGGAAAAGGTGAAACACCCACACCTCCCTCCACCCTCATTCGCTCCACTCTGGGCCCCTGAGCAAGGCACTCAACCCCCACCATCTGCTCCCTAAACAGGTCTCTCTTGAAAATGAGTCCTCGTGACTCAACGAGACTACCTGGATAAATAAAGGATACATGAAAAAAAAAAAAGAAGGATCCCTGGGCCATCCCTGTTGGACCCTACTGGGTCCAAGATTCAACCATCCAGATGTTGCTTTGAGATGAAGAAGTTCTCCTCATGTTGTACCACAGCATGATGCGGCCTCCACCATGCCTGACAGCTGGTCTGGTCTTCTCAGGTCCTAAAGCCTCACTTTGACTCCTCTAAAAAGACGTCTGGTCTTTGTGTCCAAACAGATCAAGGTCTGTCCATCAAACTTTTCTCCAGAAGACGTTTGTCTTCTTGGTTTTGGAGGCAGAGGCTCTTTCTTGGTCCTCTCAGTCTACAGTAAAACAAAACTGTCCTCGCAGTGGACAAGGACACTGGTGGACAGGGACAGGGTCCAGTTCATGGCAGGCCTGGGTGTTAAATGCATGTTACTCAGTTTAGTGATGAACTTTGGCTTTAATCTCAATAATCTAAATGTTTTTATTCTCACGACTGAGCCGTTTCTCTTCCATACGTTTTTCAGGACAACTGGTTCCACCGTTTTGGATTTATTTCAACAATTCATAAATCAAAACCTTCGGCTGCGTCAGGACGTTCACGCTGTGACTTTTGGTCTTCATTAAATTTTTACTGTTTGAAACATTCGGCTTTGTCGGCCATGTTTTTATCATTGATGAAGAATGAAGCTCTGTCCACATCTTTCAGACCCTTTGAGCTGTTTACAACCTTTTACTGTTTTTTCAGCTGTTGTTCTGCTTCTTTATGCTAATTTCAGCTTCCTTCAGCTCATTTCTGTTAAGTTCAGCTCTAATGAGCTGAAAGCAGCTGAAATTAAATGAAATGAGATGAAAGAAGCTGAAAGCAGCTGAAATGAGCTGAAAAGAGCTTAAATGAGCTGAAAAGAGCTGAAAGAAGCTTAAATGAGCTGAAGGAAGCTGAAATGAGCTGAAAGCAGCTGAAATGAACTGAAATGAGATGAAAGAAACTGAAAGCAGCTGAAATGAACTGAAAAGAGCTGAAAGAAGCTGAAATGAGATGAAAGAAGCTGAAAGCAGCTGAAAAGAGCTGAAAGCAGATGAAATGAGCTGAAAAGAGCTGAAAGAAGCTGAAATGAACTGAAATGAGATGAAAGAAGCTGAAAGCAGCTGAAATGAGCTGAAAAGAGCTGAAAGCAGCTGAAATGAGCTGAAAAGAGCTGAAAGAAGCTGAAAG